CCAAGTTCTTCCAGTCCATCATCCACCTTCCGCTTCTTGATGCGAAAGTATTGGAGTTCGCAACATTGTTCCTGATGCTTTATTCCGACCTGGGGATACAAGAACACAGTTTAGTAAATTGCGAACAGTAAAAAAGCAAGATAATCAAAGATTAACGATTTATACCAGGTTGACAAAATTCTGCGACTCAGTTGATTCAACCTTCGAAGCGGATGGGCCAAGATAAAACATTGCGGGCGACCTCGGAATAAAATCCCCATCTACGATGATAGCTGGATGTCTTTCCTTCGGAGCAAGAGATGCATCTTGTGCGCACGCATGACAATAAGATACAAGAGCATCTGGCATGGGAGCTAACCGCTGGAAACCGTTCTTCAATCAGTATCGTTGATGAGACTCCAGCAAATCAAGCTTGTGCAAAAGTTCAGATCGGCCGATCCTCGTGAAAGATCAACAGTTCGCGATACTTTTTATGTCGACTCTCAACGCAAGAAAGAAATCCTTCCACCTGCTGCCTGGACTCTGGGCTCAACTGAAATAAAAGGGTCCATGGAACGCGAATATTGTTGAAAAAGGGCATCCCTCGCTCAATCGCTTCAGAATTGGAGAAGGCCGGAACGTTGTGATTAACCTCGAAGGAGGAACCAGAGCTCTCCATTCTTTAAACAAAGAAAATGAAGTTTTGATTCTTGATGGTATCAACGATACCCAAAGGGCGATACTTATACCCACAAAGCCGAATCTCTTTTCAAAAAAGGAGACTTAATTCTGCCTTCTTTCTTCTCGAGGGAGAAAAGGAAAACACCTTGTTTCCAAGAAGGAAAACATTAATATCGATTCTTCTTTTCTCTACTTCGAATGAAGGAGAAAATTAAATAAGCATTGAAACGCGAAAAATAATTAAAAATAAAAAACACCCCAAAAGTGGGTCCACGGTTGGATTCGGTTTTAGTAACAGACCGCCCCAAAAGTGGATCCGCGGTTAAAAGGAAAAAATTCAAGTAATCAAGTAAAAACAAAACTATGAGATAAGAAGGGACGAGGCTCGCTAATCTTCAGGGTTTCGCTCTTCAACGGTTACACGTCGAATGTCACTTTGGCCAACGAGTTCGGAGTTCGAGCCATGCTGATTTGAAACAGGAATGACCTGAGACGATAATCGAGTAAGTCCAAAGCCGAGTTGGTAAGGGGACATGTTGAGATCGGCATCAGAGAGCTCGGTAACATTCAGAGCGTCAACCTCTTCTTCAGCGATCTTGGCTTCGTTGGCCAAATTCTCCAGCTCAAGTTCCAAAACAACGGAACCTCGGCTGATGAGGACTGTCACGATCTCCTGAGCGCCCTTAGATTGATTCAGAGCGTCCATTTTGGGCTGGATGATCTGCTCATGTTCCTTTATATAGCGCTTAACCTTGTCAAGGCGGGCTTGGGCCTTCTCGGTGGTACAGCTGACCTTGGCAAATCGATCATTCCGCAATCTGGTCAGCTCCTTCTCCTCATGGTCCCTGGAGAAATCTAGATCGACTTCTAACTTGGCGACCTCCCCCATGAGCGCAACCTCGCGATCACCGAGCCTGGTTACCTCCTCAGCAAGCTCAGCCTCACGTCTACCAAGCCTGACAATCTCGTCTTTAAGGGATGCGACCTCAGCCGAGTGAATATTGGATCCCGCTTCAAGGATAGCGTACTTCTTTCTGAGCTTCTCGTGATCACTCTTCTCTCGTTTAAAGACCGAGCTCAGCAGCCTGAAATGGGTCCTGTCCGTATACTTGAGTTTAAGCTTTCGCTCATACTGAGCGATCAGGTCGTTAGCCAAAGCGTTGGTCTGAAACATAGAAGGCATAATATAAACTTCCTTGTAGTCGAAAGAGGAAAAAGAATCTAAATAAATAAAACTTAAAAGCATAAAAGATAAATACCTCGAAAGAGGAGCGAGCAAACTTCTTGTATTCTTCGTTGAAGATTAGCTCATCCGAGTCTAGAAAGGCCTGGACCCCGGGAAGAGTCATGTTGCGCCAGAGCTGGATGGCGGCTTCCTAATCCTTCATCAGGTACTTATCTCCAACGTACCAAAAAGAGAATCAGTCGGGACGATCTGGATCATCCCTCGTCCAGCAAAAGGTCTTTCGAGGGGGACCCTCGAGAGTCAGGTTCTCTGCTCCAGGGCAGTTACCTCCTCAACAGGAGGGACGTCCCCAGTTGATTCTGGTAGTTTCAGGTGCCGCGACCTGAGAGTTGGTGGTCGGATCGGTGACCTCCAGTATACCAGCCTCAGCCTGGTCTTCAGCATGTCCAGCGATCTCAGTTTCTACTAGAGCGAGATCATCTTCAGTTGAACTGTCGGTCGCCTTGGGCAACCTTGGGACGGAAGAATTTATAGGGTCCTGGGCAAAAGGACCCCCCTCAGAGGCACGCGCCGGAGGGAGCTGCGAACCTCGCAGCCGTGCTGCGAAACTGACAAAACTTCTCCTCACTCTTCCGATTATGCGAGTGAATCTCTCTTTGGTGACGTCCTTCCAAGCTCGGTTCTGCACATGGAAGATAGCCGACTTGACTTCCTCGTACTTGGCAAAAAACTCTCTGCTAGGTTTGTTGCGATCTGAAAAGAAAATAGTAAATTGTAAGTATAAAGTCGAAAATATATGTTTCGATACGGCCACATGCTCAGAGGTCTACCAGGAGCCTCATTCCAAATACTTCTTCGGCTAGAGAGCTGAAGCTCAGAGGATTTGAGGTCAGAGCGAACGAAGAAGTAGTGACGTTCCCAATTCTTGAAATTGCTGATTTTACCTCCGGGCATGAACTTGTGATTCGGCCGATTATTCACGACCCAAGTGCCTGGCGACTTGCTGGCCTTCAATGTGGTCATTTCCTAGAAGCAGCGAAGGTTGGAATTGGAAACCACAGGTGGCATTGCATGAAGTACGCCTTGTACAAACAAATATAACCCCTAGGGGATTCCATGGGCGATCAGCTGGCATGGGAATTATAAAAGTAATCCCGCAGTTCGCCAAACCGCAGGAATTCAGCATCCCGCTGATCGACTTCTCGGTTGAGAGGGTGGGGGCCCCGAAAATCTCTGGATTCCAGTCTATCACTGAAGAGATGTCACGGATAAAAACATCGAGGGGAGCCAATCTTGTTTCCACCTCAGCCTCGGAATATGCGGGACGATCAGAAGGTCCCTCCGTAAGGTCGATCAACACTTCGAACCGATTGGACCCATCCACCGGATCATCATGATGGACGACTGAGTTTCCACCGTCTCTTTCTGGTTAGACTCGTCAGCCGGTTCAGGAATTCTAATCTGATTGCTCCGGCTTGACTCAGCTTCGCCTCCTAGATTCCGCCGCAGACGAGAGTTGCGACGAATCAGTTTAGCGGTTTCACTATCGGAAGAGGAGGAGACTCCGGCGCTCTTACCCATTATCAGAATAGAGCACAAATCGCAAAAACAAGCAGAGAATTATAAGCAAAAAAGAAAAAGAAATCGGAGACTACCTTTGTTTTCTCTCTTGCAAGCGGCTGAAAATGGAAAACAAGAGAGATTCATCGGGTATAAGTAGGTAAAAGTGGGCAGCAGTCCTAGGTAAAGTAATCATTAGGCCTACTAGACCTTTCGTTCTCCGAATTCCACGCGCTTGTTTAGACGACAAGCGGCGACACGTGTCAAAGGAAAACTGAAGAGTCCGAGAATTCGAAACGATATGAGGAAATCTCGCAATTAATTCGCACATTCCTAAGGTATAAGCCGAATATTCACTTCTCTAGTTCGGAAATTCAGAATTAAAGCATTCAGATTTCTCGAACTGGGGGGGGGGACTAATTGTTGGTGCAAGAATTAGCACCTCCGACAATACTGGCTTAAACCGGACAAATCACAAATTAATCTGAGAATTCAGTTAAACTGGGGAATCCCGGTTAAGCCTGTTAATGGGCTGAAGAAGGAGATCACCCCAGGCGAGTTCGACTCGAAGATGGGAGATCGCCTGCAACCGACTTCCTCATCCAAGAAAAAGGAGATTTTCCTAAAGAATCAAAGAGAATCCCGAAGAGAAAGGAAAATCTCAGGATAAAGTCTTGAAGATTTAGAAGATTAACATATCTCGAAACCGTCCTAATTATGTATAAGTAGGGGGGTTAAGTAGGGGGGGTTTGTCCCTATTCAAAGGATCCGCAATTTTTACACATAAAACCTAATTATTCTTGAGCTAAACCCTAGCGTTTTCTCTAAGCAATAAAATTCACCTTCTTTCTATTGAATCTTTGATCAAAAAGTTTAAAGAGAGTTAATTGAATTTGTTTTCCTTCTTAAACAAATTCATTGTGTCATTTTCAGAATCAACAACTATAATTATAAATGCTAAAATAAGAGGTTTTAGTCGCCACCGTCATATCGGCCAATGAGAAATATCAAATGTTTTGCAAGTTCTTAATCTGCAGCGCAGCAGCGCTTAATTTAATGCATGTCACTAAAGTCTGAGCATTTAGGTTTTCAGAGCAGTTTGAATCAGTTTTTATTTTCCGGACTTGGGTATAAAAGATTTGGAGTATTGTATTCGAATTTTTAACTATTTGGTTATTGTATTAGAATTTTTAAAACTCTTTACCTCTTTGGTTATGCTCAGTTCGAATAGGTGTCAGATTTCAATTAAATTCATGTTTGGTCCACAAAAAAAAGAAAAAAAATAATAGTTCAAATTTAATAAAATTATTTGGTTAAAATTTTCAAAAATTGATTAATTTGACAAATATAACTAAGAATTTTAAGATATTTTGGTTATTTTGATATTTTTGGATATATAAAAATAATATTCGGAGTATTTTGTGTACTCATTCGGTTCGGATAATTCAGATAAAAAAAGTAAAGATTTATTCGGGGTTTATGACTATTCAGTTTGTTTTTTCTAGTTTGGTTTTGTTTATGATTTTTTTTAATGTAATATTAAATTATATTAAAAAAAATAAATGTTTTTACAACAAAGTGTGTCGTGTGTTTGAATTTTTTTTTGAAAAAATTAAATGTTGAAAGTGCTTAAAAACTATGTAATTTAACTCCGAGAAAGAAGCCATAGTTGAGACGCCTTGTCGTACCGCCTATCTCCCATTATTCGAATTGTCGAAATATGGTTTCTGACTTGTTTATCTCATCCACCGTTCCCCTCTCTTATTCTTCCTTAGTAAAAGGACAACCTAAGAACTCTGCAAGTCTCTTGATCTGCTCACGAGGTTCTGCTTTCATCTCCTCAAACTTCATAAAAAGCACATGGTTTGGATCTTCCAAGCTTCCTCTCCAGTAGCTTAGGACTTGGTCCCAAAAAGGTCCAAAAATGGTGACTCCCCTACAAAACATCTCAAACGTATCCTCGAAACCGCTTAAAACGTTATCATCGGTTTGTTTCTTACAAAAGAAATGCCAATATGAAACCAATGTGTCTTTTACGTTCCTGGACATATACACAAATTTACAAGTAGAATCTTTGAGACCTTCTTGCAACATATGTGACGGCATGTGTGTTGAAAACAGCCTCGGAGATGATGAGAACTTGGTAAAGTCCGGCTTTGCGCTATAGTAATAGAGATTCATCTCAAGGTAGGGTACAAGAACGTGTGGATTATCAGAAAGAAGAGGATGATGATCATCATGAGAAGGGTGTTTCGATCTACAAACGACTGCGAATGTAAGCGCCTTGAGCCAAGTTGTGCCGCATTTAGGGAACGAAGCAACGATGATATCAGTGTCTTGAGGCTTGAAGTTCTTCTGGAAATTGAGGACAGCTTGGAGAATATGGGGAGTATACCAACATCCTTGGTACTTACAAACATTTCTCCCAGTGGAATCTTTGTCTGAAGGAAGTGAAGAGATTAGAGTCTTTGTTTCTTCGCTTAAGTCTTCGTTTCTAACGTTCATCGCAATCTTTTTCTCATCCATTACAAATAATTTGTGTTTTGATTCTAAAGCGAACATCACTACCAACCTATGTTATGTCTTGTTTTAAAGGTCAGCTAAATTTCTGTCGAAAGGTGGGAAAGAAACAATGATCAAATCAGTGGCTTTGGCACTACCAACCTATGTTATGTCTTGTTTTAAACTACCTCAAGAGTTAACTTCTAAGTTAACAAGTGCTATTTCTAATTATTGGTGGAGTTCCAATGGGAGAGATCGTGGGATCCATTGGATAGCATGGGAAAAAATGTGTAAGGATAAAGAAGAAGGAGGTTTAGGCTTTCATTCCCTAGACATTTTTAATGATGCCATGTTGGCTAAACAATATTGGCGTTTAATCCAATATCCGAACTCTTTAGTAGCTCGGGTGCTACAAAGCAGATATTTCAGGAATATTCATCCTTTACAGGCAAAAAAACCAAACTCTCCATCATTTGGATGGAAGAGTATTTTTTCTACTAAAAGATTAGTTGAAGTGGGAGGTAGATGGTCACTAGGATCGGGTTTCAATCTATCGGTATGGCGAGATCCTTGGATTCCTGATATTAACCCACGGACCGCAAATGGAAGAGGAAAAACATTACTTCCAAGTTTGATGGTTAACCATTTAATTAATCCGGTTACTAAAGAATGGCATCTTCCTATTTTACAAGAATTTTTGGATCCAGTGGATATTCAGTTTATTAGGGGATTGGCTATTAGCAAAGTTTATAAGCCAGATAGGCTTATCTGGCATCATACAAGATCGGGAAGATATACAGTAAAATCAGGCTATCGGGTTGCTAGAGAGATGACAGAAACGATCGAATGGGGCCCGAATTATAAGAATTTACAAGCACAAGCTTGGAAAGTCAAAGCCCCTCCAAAACTAAAACATTTCTTATGGCAAATTGCTACGGGATCTCTAGCAGTTACTTCAAAATTAGCACATCGAGGTGTCCAATGTGACTTTCTCTGTAAAAGATGTGAGATGGCAGAGGAAACAATAAATCATGCTTTATTTGAGTGCACTCATTCTCAGAAAATATGGGAATTATCAGATATACCTACGGCAATAGGTAGTTTTCCTCTAACCTCGGAATTCTCAAATCTAGATTATCTTTATTGGAGGTTACCATCTAATCTAGATGGGGGAGAGAAAACTTTCAGTTATGCTTGGATTTTGTGGTTCATCTGGAAAGATAGGAATAAAAAGGTTTTCAAGGGATTACAATCTGAACCAAGAGATATTTTAAATCATGCTTTGAGTGAAAAATTAATGTGGGAAGAAGCTCAGTTGGATCCGATCGAAACTAGTTCTACTACGGAAACTTTGGAACGACCGGTTCAATCTATAAGATGTCGGATTGATGGTTCTTGGAAAAATTCAGATCCAACAATGGGTATAGGATGGTGGTGTTTTCAAGGAAATGATCAAACGATACTGCTCGGTGCAAAGTGCCTTCGGAGGTGTCCCTCCCCTCTTCACTCGGAGATGGAAGCTTTAATTTGGGCTATGAAGAATATCCTTTCAAGAGGGATCGATTGTCAGGTGTTTGAATCAGACTGCTCGGAGTTAGTCTCGATGATACACTCACCGGATGAATGGCCTGCTTTCTCCAATCTTCTAGACGAGTTTGGTTTTCTCCGTCTCTCTTTCCCTTTCTTCTCGCTTTCTCTTATTTCTCGTTTATGTAATGTTCAAGCGGACTGCTTAGCCCGTTCTTCTAGACTTTTATTTTCTGAAGTTACTTTTGTAAACTCTACTCCTCCTAATTGGACAACCAATCAAAGAATTATTTATTAATTAATGTGTGGTTGACAAAAAAAAAAAAAAAAAATCTACAGAAAACTAATAGGGGTTAGGAAAGGGAGATAGATAATATTCTTTTGATCTTTAATCTTAGTTGATTTGGGAAAGTAACTAGTTAAAATTCGTAAAAAGTCAAATTAAATTTATAGTAATCGTTTTGGCAAGTAGTTTCACAATACCAAAATAGATCAAAATATTAGCAAGTTCCATATCCAGAGATGAAATGAGTGAACTATTAATGGTGCAGAAAGATGGATGAAATTAGCAAATTTGATTTGACACTTCAATGAGTTTTGGAAACCTAAGCTACATGATAGGTTAAAACACAAAACCGGAAAGAAAAGCCCGAAAAACACAGGCAAAGAGGTCACAGGGCACTCTAGAGAACTGGATCAGTCTGGTTAGCCAAAATCTGGTCATCTATGATTGAACGATGTTTCCCGACAGCCGGAATACTAAGTGAACGTTTCCTCATCTTGGCTTTATCCGAGGCGGCTACTCCCATTCTGTTCCCGTATTCACTCGACAGCTCAAGGGATTCAATTAATGGCTGGTTCGCTGTCCTGAGGAAAAGATCGAGGTTTTGGGAGTATTTGTCATCTTTGTTGGGCTTTGTAGCCTCGTTGTGGTTGTTTTCGGACACCATGGAGATTGTGTCTCGAGACTCTTCTTCTTCGTTGTCTGTCCAGTAACTCTTGTCTTCCATTGCCAGATCATCGTACTCTTCATCTGACTTTGTCGATTCCTCATCCACCGATCCAACCTGGTTTAAGAGTACATGTAAGGGTCTTAAAACTAACCAAAAGCTACACTAAAAACATGATAAATGGCATTAACATCCTCCCAACGAATCAACATTTGGTTACCTCGTCACGGTTGCGTTCGTCATTGTTATCGCTGAGATCTTCATCAGAATCTGGCTCAGGAAAATCATCGTCGCCTTCTTCATCTTCATCGCTCCCATCTACAGACTGCTCCTCCATCAGCTGCATGGAGGATATGGTAAACAATCTTCACAAAACGCAAAAAATTTATGTTTCCACACCTTGATTAGTGCAATATTTACCTCTTTTGAAGGCCCATCAGATGTCCGTGGCGAACTGCAGCAAGAAGAGTAATGCCTGCTTCCAGTTTCAATAATATCTGCTCTTGATTCATCCACACTCCCGGCATGGCTAGTTGCGCCATCATTAGGCCAAGCGCTGATCCCAAAGTGACCGAACTGAAGGTTCACTGGTTCAGCTTTATGTAGCTGATGCTCTGTTCCATTATCCATCTCGGTATCAACGACGGGCTTCCTGATCTTATCAACGGAACCAACAGGCCAAGTTCTGGCCACAGTACCATCAGTATTGCAAAGAGCCATATAACGCCTAGAGGAGCCTTGTCTTTGGATCAGCTGAAACATTCCCTTGGAACTTAATGAATTGGCTGTACATTGGTTCCTGTGCTCGTCGTCGATAACAGCAACGGTATTTGTGGTTGTATCATAGAGCTTCTCTCCTGTTTCACGTCTACGCAGGCAACCAAAGACCGTCGCGTGAATTGTAGCCACGCTCTTGTCGACATTTGTGTTGTTTATCTTAGGAACGAGATGCTTGTCAGCTCGTTTACATAGATAATCCTGTATTGTTCTGATGTTACGTATATATTTTACATACTTATTCTTTGTTGGGTCCAATGTCATGTACTTGGCTCGGACTGCAAACCGTTCCAAGTGTTTCTCCTCGTTGGCTATGTATACCATGAAGGGAACAATCGAAGGGTGCTTCTTCATCAGTCCCATCTGCAAAAATGGAAATAAAGAAAAAGTTAGATTGAAAAACCTTAGATCACAATGTGTAATAAGATACTGATAAGACTTACCACAAAGTTAAGGCTTAAGTGGACCCCTTCAACGACTACCGATTCTTTCCTCTCTTCCCAAGTTGTAATGAGCCTATCGAGACTGTCAATCACCATCTCACTTTGTGCCTTATAACCTTCTATAGCCATCTGCTTATGACTTAACAACTCAGTGGTGCCAGAGTTTGATCCAGCATCCGTCTTTTGGGTATTGGAATTTACACCTCGAGAGCCTTTCAACTTTTTGGCTTTTCTTTTGGCTTTTGACTCAGCTACTGCCACAGGGTCAAGGTACTCTCCAGCATGGTATGTTGAAGCCCACAGCAAAGGGTTCTGCTTCTCATCAGCGAAGCTCCTCATCATGTGCCTTATTGAGTCAGTTGATACCACAGTCGTAATCCCCAGCCTGCTACCCTGTAACACATATTTATAAATTGCATCTGATTAAGAACACAATGAAACCAGATAACTTATGAATTGTCTCACTCTGAAAACGGTGAGTATACGAAATACAAAAGAAGAGACCTTCTTAATGTCAGTATAAAGCATATAAATGGAGGGAGTGAATATTTACCAGCAATGCGGATAATGTAGATTTACCACAGCCACTGGTGCCACAGAGCAAAACAGTTACAGATTCTTTCCTTTCTCGGATTCTGTGAGTGAAAATAAGAGTTGTAGACAATGTGTGAATAAAAGAAGAAAAACTACAGTTTCCGGATATGATATATGACTGGGAAAGTAGCAAACCCGAGGCACAATAAAACCACATGGGTAAAACATAAAGTTACAGCCATAAATGGCGCTACCAACGTAACAGGAGCACTAAAGGGGGGAGATAAGTATGAAGCTAAACACGAGCATAGCACTTAACAGACAGACAATAACAAACCAAATACAACTATGTTTATCCACACTGAGAAGGAAAAAGAGAGAACAGTTGACATATAGGAAAAGCGTGACCAGCAACAATGTTAAACATTAAGAGTTAAACAACTCTATATTAGCCACTCAATAGAAACAGTCAGGCTACTATTTATGTCACAAAGATACACTAGAAAACCATACAAAGGCTAAAGAATATCTTAAAAAGGCACAAAAACATATTTAATGCATTTAAATGAGGAAATTACGACATAAAACACAAGACATATGCAGATTCTATATGCCATAGCTTTTTATGACATAACAAATAAAGATATATTCCAAAAGGGAAGAAATTTACCTGCATGCCAGAATCAAATCTGCCCTTTGGTCGCGACCAACGTACTTATACTCAGCCAGGGCATCACACACAACATCCAAGAATATTTCTCGTGAAACAACAACAGTAGTCCGCCTTTTGTACATCTCAAACGGTTTACTTTTATTCTTGTCAACATCAACATCATCAGCAACCAAACAGTTAAGTTTCTCTACACAAGTTGAACCACCAACTTCCTTAGTAAATTCAGTTTCCTTCCCATTCTCTGGTGAGCTATTACAAGATCCCTCACTTCTTATTAACTCAAAAACCCTTCGGCTGATCTGCCAACAGAGAAAAAAAAAAAGAGATTCTCAGGACTGAAAACAAATCACTCCAATGTTGAAATATAGTATGGGTTTAAGGAAAGTTTTGTCCTTTACCAAATTCAAGAAAGACTATAATAGAAATCGATAAAGACGTGCATTAATTCTCACAGCAGCAAGCTCTCAATACAAGTATACAAAATTTCCAAATTACGAAATCATGCTATGTCCTTTCTAGATACAAACACATCATTGATCTAACCAATACAAAAAAAAAAGTCAGACTAGATTCACAAATCTTCATAAGATTGATCATTTCGACTTTCGCTTGGGAAGAGACCATATAAAATGCTCTGGTCCCTGGCTTAAAGGGATGTAACGGGCCTAGGCTCAGAACCTCTTAGTTATTCAAACAATGTAAAATCGAAATCACACCTTGCAGGCGTGACGAGCTTTGCAACCCATAAGCTGAAGAGTACTCTGCAAAACAGGACGCGTGTAACGAAACGAATCATCTCCATTATTATCAACATCATCACCTTCTTCACGCACCACTATATACAAAACCTTCGTCGTTGTCTCCGTCATCATCTCTATACAAAACAAACAAACAAATTCAGAACAAATCAAACAATCAGAGGACAAAATCGGGAATGCAGATCAATCGGTAACATACCGGAGAAGAGAAAATCGGAGATCGGAGAAGTTAGAGAAAACTGTGAAAAAAATTAGGGTTTATAATGAGGATCGTGATAAGAAGAAGAAGAAGAGAAGAAGGAAGATATATTCGCCATTGTTGTTGGTCACTCGTCTTCTTCAACGCATCGCTCGAAGAGAGAGAGCCTTCACGACTTCTTTAAGAATTAAGATTCTCTCTCTCTCTCTCTCTCTTTCTCACGTATCTCTTTTTTTTACACAGACCCAAAAAAAAAAATATTTTGTTTTTTATTGCGCTTTTTTATAAAATGTTTTTGGCTTTTTTGAACTTAACCAACATTTTACTTTTCTTGACAAAGACATCCCTAGATTTTATTTTTATATCAAATCGGTCCCTTTTAGTTTTATGAAATAGAATCTAATTTTTTGTTGCTAACTTTTTAGAAGCATTTATTCAAGAGATTAAATCCAATGAAGGGTATAAGCAAACCCATTTTATTAAATAACAGAACACAATAAGCTAAAAATTAGAGGATGGAATCTAGATAGAAAAAATAAAGTATGTGAAATTAAGAGACAATCAAAGTAGAGGGGTTTTGTAATAATATATTATTATTTATTATTTTTAATAGGGTTGTCTTTGGGTCAAGATTTATTCAATGAGAAGGTTAAGAAGTTTCGCCGACTCATTTTGATTAGGTCTTTGTAAGCAATTTAACTATGTAATAAGAAAGTAGATTCGATATCTAACCATATGTGAAATAATCTCAAAAAAAAAAAGAAAAAAAAAACCAGTATGAACTTGGTTTTGGTTTTGTTACGACTAAATCTATCTTTTTCATAGAATATATGCACTTGCTTACGCAATTGAGGTGGTAAAAATTTTAATAATAAGAATAGAATTTTACTTCTATTGAAAGGAGAAGAGTATGTAGATGTACCTTCACAAAAGTTTCTTTGCATGAGCTCTATCGATTTACAAAGACAAGGGATTGGGTTCTTTTTTTTTTTGATGATAGATACCGTATTTATAGAGCTTGTGATTCTGAAACAAAATTTTGTTTTGGATTGTTTATCGTGCCTTAATGGACTTAAGTTTTAAATTTTAAACCACACAAAATCAATATCCATAATTGAACATATTTATTTTTACTTGCTTAAATTCAAAATATAATGATAAAATTGATTATTCAGTATTGAAGATTTTACCAACATTATATAAAATAAATTTTAAAATAATTAATAGTTATAATTATATTAAAAAGCTATTTCAGCTTTAAATATTTATTTATTCATTGTATTTATTATAATGAAATAAATTAATTAGTTATACACCCAATGAGTTATAACTTTAAGTTTTAAATTTATTTATAAACAAAAAGTTGAATTTTAATTTTTACAATAATTAACTAGTTTATTTTCTCACCAATTTAAGTATATTTCATTTAAGATATCATTCCCTACAAAATCATGGCACCATAAAGCTTTAGTGGAAACTACCAAAACAATTAATTGAGAAAACTAATTACTTAATGGAAAAAAAAAGAAACAAAATCTAAAGTTAATGCTATTCACATGATTCAGATTCACCGTGTGGACCCTAAATAAACAACAATCAAAAAGTGGTAAAAATGTAAATCTTGTATGGAAACAATGGTAATAAAAAGTTTTCTTCTATGAATGATTTGTACTTTGTGGGGAAAGAATCTAAAAGGACAAAGTAAGTGGGTTCCATCGTTAAACAACAAAAATTCCAAACGTTACATTCATGAAGTAAAAAAAATTTTCATATTAATTTCCTATTGAATTAAAAAAATACATTATAATCATCATCGTGTATATTTTATATACCTACTACCAAAACTAGGATAAAATAAAACGAAGAAAAAAAAAAGGATAAAATAAAACATCGTGAGAAAAATCGTCTAATCATTATATATTGTTATATCATAGTCATCACACATGCGAATTCAATATACTGGTCGGATGACGAGAAATAGTAGACTAGTACCAGCCACATGAACAAGATATATTAATCAAATTTCAATATTGATTAAATATCACTATATTTTTTTATTTATTAAAAGTAGTAACCGTTCTTGGTAAGTGAAATCTTGAAAGAATTATTATATCTATAACAATTACTTGTAAATATACAAACAAAATCTGTAAGATTTTTTTAGCTCAAACCATCACCTAAACTAGACTATAAAAAGAGACGAAAGGTATGCATAACTTCACCATCAACAGCAGAAAAAAAAAAGGAGAAAAAAAAAACTCAACTTGGAGAATGAAAAGCATTTCATTTATACTTTTGTTATTAGTTTCTCTTCTAGTCGTCGTTTCTCGTAAGTATACATACTTTACCAATTGTAATATTTTCAAACAAGCTAACAAAATTTTACATATCTCTTTACAAATAATTGAAAGTAATCTTTGTTAAAAAGCCATTTTATAAAAGAATCAAGTTTGGAAAATTTTAAAACAAACTTTATATTCAAAATCATTTTGTAGTCAATTCTTTTTTACTTCTAATATGTTTGTATTTAAGATAACTTTTCTTATACTTTGGTGCGTTTTAAGGACACACTCTTGCGTATGAAGATTCTTGTTCGACAGATGAAGAATGCAGAAAAAACTGCCTATGTGATGTAGCGTATTGCGACAAAAGCCGTGATAAGTGTGATTATGGATTTCATGTTATGAATAAAGTTGATGTCGGTTTTTTCAAACATCGTGGTGGTCGAATATCTCCACCGCAGTGACTGAAATTATAATGATACAAGTGTATGTCGTATCTAATTAAAAAAAAAGTTATTTGTTGAATTTTTTTTTTTTTTGATGCATTAATATGTTGATGATCATACATATATGTATATTGCCTTAAATTATAAATCAAGATGGATTAAGGTCACATAAATTTAAATATATAAAAATTAATTTTGTTTGATCTTAAAAATTCTGAGATTAGGACATAGGGCAGTTCTCATCTACAAGGGAAGAGTTAATGGCGACAAGTTTAAATTACCTTGGAGTGGAAAGGTAAATATCAGGGATGTGAAAAATAGGTATGCCCGTCATCTCAGAGAGGGAAACCCTCCTGAAGGAGGGGTTGGTGAAAACAGTGGTGGAGATACAGATGATGATGACGACGACGATGATGGTCATGCAATTGGAGGTGGAGATGTCTTCCCTCCAATACCGCATCGTTTCTTTGATCCGATTGTCTTCCGTAACCACGGGTTTCAGTTCGTCCCTGGTGGTGGATTCAGGATTTGGAATGCATCAACATGAGCTCATCAAGAACCGGTAATCATCCATGAGTGGTTTTAATTCAAACCACCTTACCACCAAGTGGTTTCCCTCTTTCTTACTTCTTACATGATGTCATTAGGGTCGCTTTTTTTTTTTGCTCAAACCATCACCTAAACTAGACTATAAAAGAGACGAAAGACATGCATAACTTCACCATCAAAAGCACAAAAAAAAGAGAAAAAAAATTTCAACTTGGAGAATGAAAAGCATTTCATTTAAACTTTTGTTATTGGTTTCTCTTCTTGTCGTAGTTTTTCGTAAGTATACATACCTTACCAATTGTAACATTTTCATACAAGCCAACAAAATTTTACATGTCTTTACAAATAATTGAAAGTAATATATATTTGTTAAAAGCCATTTTATAAAAGAATCGAGTCTGAAAAATTTTAAAACAAACTTTATATTCGAAATCATTTTCTAGTTAATTCTTTTTTTCTTTTTATATATGTGTTTGTATTTAAGATAACTTTTCTTATACTTTGGTGTGTTTTAAGGACACACTCTTGCGTATGAAGATTCTTGTTCGACGGATGAAGAATGCAGGAAAAACTGCCTATGTGGTATAGCGTATTGCGACAAAAGCCGTGATAAGTGTGATTATGGATTTCATGTTATGAATAAAGTTGATGTCGGTTTTTTCAAACATCGTGGTGGTCGAATATCTCCACCGCAGTGACTGAAATTATGATGATACAAGTGAACGTATGTCGTATCTAATTAAAAAAAAAAAGTTATTTGTTGAAATTTATTTGATTTTTTTTTATGCATTAATATGTTGATGATCATACATATATGTATACAGTATACTGCCTTAAATTATAAATCAAGATGGATTAAGGTCACATAAATTTAAATATATAAAAATATTATATATATATCCACAAATTAATTTTGTTTGATCTTAAAAATCATGTTTAATTTTTGTATGAAAAAATATTTTCATGAATGCAATTTTGTTTGTTTTGTTTTCGTTTGAAAGTTATGGTTGAACTACGCCAATATAATGTTAGTTTTCAAAACAAAATAAAAAGTTAAAGTTTAGAGTAAAGCAAATTCAAGAAAGGAATACTAAGGTGTTGATTAGTTTTCCTGCGATCACCCGCAAATTCAGCGTGCGGCCGTTGCGATTGTTAGCGGTTTGTACGAATCATAAAAACCGTTTTAGACAGCTTGAATCGATGGATTTCAAAAGCTTTTTCCTGCAAGCGTTTGCGGTTGTGGACGGTAACGGGTGGCTCAAAAAATAAAAGAAACTAAAAAAAAAAGAAAATTAACAAATTAAAATAAATTATTAAGCCTACACATATTCACCTTAATCCTCAAAAAATAATCATTTCTACACTATTATTTGAGCAATGTTGTTAGCAAATTAACCAATTGTGATGTGGCTTATTACAGAAAATACCATTACAAATTCTTATTTTGCGGGTATTAAAAATAATTCTTATTTGATTATTTGGTGGATAGAATTTCGGCATAATCATGTTTTCCTTTAATACTCCTAAACCATTTAACTGTTGTTTGATAGTAATCTTTTTTAGATGCCAACAAAATAAATCAGTTTTGCTTAGTCAAATAACGCTTGCATATTTTATACTCTCTCCGTATTTTAATAAGTGTCGTTTTAGGATTTTCTTTTTTTTTAAAATTAGATGTCGTTTTCAAATTTCTATGCAAAATTTCTTACTTTTTAATGTTTTATGACATCATAAAACAGGGGCATTTTTAACAATTTCTCAATTTGTTATTAGAAATATTTATAAGTACACTACACGATTCGTTCTATTAAAAACATGCACAATATTAAAATCAACGTATATAAATCAATATTCTCCCGCGATGGACCGCGGGTCCGATCCTAGTTTCAATACAACTTAACTTTCCTTGAGTTCGATTTCTTCTGAAAACTATTTCATTGATATTTAGCCAATAGAATATAATACCATATTATAAATCTATTTAAATTCGGTGAATAAACTATTCGTAGCTATCTATATTATTAATTGGGAAGCATTGGATAATAAATAACCTTATAAAGGGTAAAGAATTACAAAAAATGCCAATGGTTTTTAGTGTTTTTAAATAACTTCATTAAGGGTACAATAGTAATCACAAAATTAATATATTTAAATAAAAAATAGTTTAATTCTTTTAAATACTTATTAATTTCCAAAAAAATAAACTAATTTTCTCTCTCTTATTAATTATAAACGAAAATTTGAAATTAATTTTTTAAAAATTGTTAACCAATAGGAATTGAAAAACTAAGATTTGATATCCAACTAAGATTTTTTCTAAACCAATCCTAATAGACTATTCTATATCAAAAATACAAATAAAAATAATATCATTTTAATTCAAAATTAAAAAAAACTATCATTTAAAAAGATTTATCAATGGAGGATTTTAAGATTGAATTTAAAATTTGGTAAAAAAATTAAATGCAAATATTTTAATATTCAGTTTTGTTATAATATTTTTATTACAAATTTTGAAATATAAAACGAAATTTTATTTCATAATTTCTAAAAAACCATATTAAATATTAACAAATATTTATTTTTACTATGAAATAAACTCAAATAATAATAAATTTTAAGTAATTATCATAATGGTTTTCGTTTAGAGCAATTTTCGAAAAAATCTAAACAATAGAATGTACATATTAATTTTGAAATATTTTGTGTTTTATTTTTTTCTTTTCAACTCAGATCTTCCTTAAATAATAACTAGATGCAAATATTATTTAAGGAAGATTTTAAGATTGAATTTGAAATTTGGTAAAAAAATTAAATGCAAATATTTTAATATTCAGTTTTGTTATAATATTTTTAGTACAAATTTTGAAATATAAAACGAAATTTTATTTCATAATTTCTAAAAAACCATATTAAATATTAACAAATATTTATTTTTACTATGAAATAAACTCAAATAATAATAAATTTTAAGTAATTATCATAATGGTTTTCGTTTAGAGCAATTTTCGAAAAAATCTAAACAATAGAATGTACATATTAATTTTGAAATATTTTGTGTTTTATTTTTTTCTTTTCAACTCAGATCTTCCTTAAATAATAACTAGATGCAAATATTATTTAAGGAAGATTTTAAGATTGAATTTAAAATTTGGTAAAAAAATTAAATGCAAATATTTTAATATTCAGTTTTGTTATAATATTTTTATTACAAATTTTGAAATATAAAACGAAATTTTATTTCATAATTTCTAAAAAACCATATTAAATATTAACAAATATTTATTTTTACTATGAAATAAACTCAAATAATAATAAATTTTAAGTAATTATCATAATGGTTTTCGTTTAGAGCAATTTTTGAAAAAATCTAAACAATAGAATGTACATATTAATTTTGAAATATTTTGTGTTTTATTTTTTTCTTTTCAACTCAGATCTTCCTTAAATAAATCCATAATATATTGCACACAGTTTTTGAAATTATGTAAACTAATTATATATTTTGCATTCAACACAAATTATGCAGCAATAGCATATCCCTTTTATAGATGTATCTAAAACTTTTATTTTTAGTCCAAATATTGAACTAATTATGATTAAACAATGAAAAGAAGAATATGCAAAATTTAGCTAAGGAAAGAAACATTAATAAATTTGTTAAAATATTTGTAACTTTAACATCATACATATTAATCCGCAAAACTCACAGTATGTATTTTATGGTATTTTAAAGTAAGCAAACAAGAATTTGGAACATGGTTTTAATGGAATGAAATGAGAATAAGAATTACGAGACGGGATGGCAGAGGAACATAAATTAAAAATCAAACTTAATACTCAACTGGTATGAGTTTGTGTTATGAGCACTATATAAAATAAATTTGTTTACACACATAACCTTATACGTACATTTTTAGTTACAATTTATGACAGATACGGGACCGTAATATTTTTATTTCACGTATACGAGACGGGTTATGGGACGAAAAATTTATGACATATACAAGACGAGATAGGTTTCCTGTTCCAAAATAGTTACGCCTAGCTAATATACATGAAATAATCCAAACTAAACCGAATATGTATCCTATTTAACACATGTAATCAAACTGTTAGAAATGTTTTGAATAGTTTAGAAAATAAAAACGTAACATCACTTAACTTTTGCAACTAAATAATATCTTAATTTTATATTAAATACAATTTCACACGTACGTGTAGGTCCGAATCTTAAAATATAACTATGCACTAACGCAACTAAATTTCGTTCATTACTCTAACTTTATAATATCTATATTATTACAAAGTTCACTAACACAACAAAATATTTTATATTTTTAAAATCTATATAACAATTTCTAAAAAAATATCTCTGCACGTACATGTGGATCTAGATCTAATACACTAAAATATACATCATAAAAACAATAAAATAATCTATATTGTATGAAAATTTGTAAGAAATGTTTTTGAAATATGAAACCCCGCACGTACGTGCGGGTCAGGATCTAGTACTCACCTTAAAAAAATAGTTTTCGAAAGAAAAAATATCAGAATATTCCTGATTGAAACATATTAAATTACATTTTATACATATACCAAATCTAAAGTTTAATGTGTACTTGATAGAAAAAATCAAAAAATTATGGATTAATTTCAATTAGAGTAAAGAGACGGTGGCTAGAAGGAAGTGGAGCTCGGATCCGGGTCAAGTTACCGGAGACAGGGAGGGACTCACGGCCAGGCATTCCGGCGTTACCGAAAACTTCGCTTCTCTTTCGGTGGCTCCAAATCTTCAATCGGAGCTAACGAATCCTGATCGAAAACCTAGAGCCTCCGTCGGATCTTCGGTGGCTCTCTCAGCCGCTTTGCTCCACCGCGATTCTTCCCCGTGAGTCGTCGTCTCTTCTTCAGAGATGTAAAATGTGTAACCTTTTTCGATTAGAGCATCTAATTTTCTAATTTGTGTTCTGATTTGTTGCTTTGTTGTAGAAGTTTATCTTATGGCGGAACCACCAAAGCTTAGGGTTTTAATGGTCTCTGATTTCTTCTTCCCAAACTTTGGTGGTGTCGAGAATCACATCTATTATCTCTCTCAATGCTTGTTAAAGCTCGGTCACAAGGTCAGTGTCTTCTATATCAACAAAAGTTCATACCTTTTTGCGGTTTTAGCTATAAAGAAATCAAATTCTCACAACCCTGCAATGCTACTTCAATAGGATGTGATCAGATTCAAGTTTCATATTCAAAGTTTCAAGCTTTATCATCAATAGCTGTGATCAGATTCAAGTTTCAAATTCAAAGTTTCAAGCTTTATCATCAATAGCTGTAATCAGATTCAAGTTTCAAGCTTTATCATCAATAGCTGTGATCAAAAATTTGGTTTCAAATTCAAAGTTCCAAGCTTTATCATCAATAGCTGTGATCAGAATTTAGTTTCAAATTCAAAGTTTCGGGCTTTATTATCAATAGATGTAATAAACGAATGTAGCATAGTGTGATAGGAGCTTTGGCCAAAGTTTCATTCTTTCTCTTCTGTGGGCATTGGTTTGAGAAATTGTTACCTTTGTTGCAGGTGGTGGTTATGACACATGCTTATGGGAACCGTTCTGGAGTTCGATACATGACTGGTGGACTCAAAGTCTATTATGTACCTTGGAGACCTTTTGTTATGCAGACTACATTTCCGACGGTCTATGGAACACTTCCCATTGTGAGGACTATACTTCGACGCGAGAAAATCACGGTGGTTCATGGACATCAAGCTTTCTCTACGCTTTGTCATGAAGCTTTAATGCATGCCAGGACAATGGGCTATAAAGTTGTGTTCACAGATCATTCCTTGTACGGTTTTGCTGATGTTGGGAGTATCCATATGAACAAGGTTTTACAGTTTAGTTTAGCAGATATAGACCAGGCGATTTGTGTTTCACACACGAGCAAGGAGAATACTGTTCTAAGGTCTGGATTGTCCCCAGCAAAGGTTTTTATGATACCAAATGCTGTTGATACTGCTATGTTCAAGCCCGCTTCTGTTCGACCCAGTACTGATATCATCACTATAGTTGTCATAAGTAGATTGGTTTATCGGAAAGGTGCTGATTTGCTCGTTGAAGTCATTCCAGAAGTATGCCGTTTATACCCGAATGTGAGTTTATAACCCCCAGCTCACATTAGTAACACAATTATTCTGTCATTTCTCTTTAATATCCGCATTTACTTTTTTGTTTTTGTTTTTTTAAAGGTTCGTTTTGTAGTTGGAGGGGATGGACCTAAACATGTGCGACTCGAGGAAATGAGAGAGAAGCATTCTCTCCAAGATAGAGTCGAAATGTTGGGTGCAGTTCCGCATTCTCGTGTGCGCTCTGTTTTGGTGACCGGTCATATTTTTCTTAACAGGTGTGCTAACTATTACAGTTTTTGTTTTTAAAATTCACAAAACTCAACAGTACTTTTCATCAGTTAAAGCTACTATAGTCTTGATCCTCTGACAGTTCTTTAACAGAAGCCTTCTGCATAGCTATATTAGAGGCGGCTAGTTGCGGATTATTAACTGTTAGCACTCGTGTTGGAGGTGTCCCAGAGGCGTGTAACATTTCCTATAATTCGTTCGTTGCCCTTTCGCTTCATCCTCATTGCTTCTATCTTCCAGATTGATAAAATCAGGTTTTTTTTCCACGGTTTACAGGTCCTACCAGATGACATGGTTGTACTTGCTGAACCAGATCCTAATGATATGGTACGAGCAATTGAGAAGGCAATATCAATACTCCCAAGTATTAACCCCGAGGATATGCACAATCGAGTGAGTTCTGCTTCAAATCCAAGCCTAACGTATCAGTTTACTTATAAGAGTTAAGAGTCTCTTCTAAGCCTTTGATTTCTTGTTTTGCTTGTTGCAACTAGATGAAGAAGCTCTACAGTTGGCAAGATGTTGCTAAAAGAACTGAGATTGTGTACGATCGTGCCTTGAAGTGTTCAAATAGGAGTCTTCTAGAACGTCTATCACGGTACATTATATCCTTACGTATCTAGATTAATGTAAGCCTCACCCCCTCCTTGTTTCTTTAACACTGATGAATATCTGATCTTTTGTAGGTTCCTCTCGTGTGGAGCTTGGGCAGGGAAGCTATTTTGTATGGTTATGATCCTCGATTACTTGCTTTGGCGGTTACTTCAGTTACTACAGGTGATCTCTCATTGACTCATCTTCTCTAACTGTTGATGTTTACAAAATGTAATATCACCAAAGTTAATGGAATTTGCCTCAGCCTGATGAAGATATCGAGGAGGCACCCGATATCCGTCTTTGCGATCAGCGAGACGTCGAGGTATCTGAGGGTCTCAAGGAAGAAGATAAAGTGAGAAATGGGTGACTCAAGTTCATCTCCATCGATTCATTGTTTTTTAGGACAGAAGTAACTTATTATCTATACAGTTTTCAGATTTTTTCTAGTAAATTCTTGTCTTTCCCAAACGGAAAATATCTATGAAAAAGGAGAGACGATGATGAAGCAAAGAGTTCATTCGCCATGAAAAATAATGATTACTTTTGAGTATTATAACATTACACTTTAGAGGAAATTGTCGAGTCTACTACTAGTTCACCATTTATTTGTCTATCTTTTCCAGAATAGCTACAAAACAAATAGCTATGATTTAGAAATGTTACAATGGGTCAAAAATGCAGGGGCGATTCAGTCCAACACGACCCATCAATTCGACTATAATGGGTTTATGAGTTCATTCATGGGTTATGTGTAAAACCGTAATAGTTTTATCCTATTAAACATAACATTCATAGAGCAACTTGTATTTCTAATGTATCTATGTAGTGCAAATCTCATGTAGAAACTAATCAAAAGGAAAAATTATCACACTTACAAAATTTACAAAAGCAAAAAAGGGTTTGAGAAAAAACAACCATTAGAATGTTATTATTTGTACATCATAGTAATTTATATGTTTTACTATGTATATAATAGGTATTGTCATATCAAAAAAAATTTGGGTGCTATTTGTTCATTATTGTTTAAACATTTTTATGTGTTTGAGAAAAACTTATAATACCAAATATATTATTTTAATTAATGATTCTTATAAAACAAATCCATAGCTATAAATGGTGATAAAAAAAAGGTAAGGTGCATGAATATTGTGTAATACAATGTATTATATATATTAGCTGTCTTTTGTCTGTAAAGTTTTTAGATTTGTTTCCTCAAAATTACCATTACTAAGTGGACCTATCATTTAGATTTTCCTATATAACTTGTAAACTTTGACTATTTTTTTTCCTTTTTTGCATATACAATTTTAAAACTTATTATTGATATTTATGAGTTAGTTATGCAATTATTGTTTTCCATACATAACATAGGAACTATTTTGTATTTTTCTTATGTAAGTTTTCTATATAAATCATGTGCAAGAAATTTAGTTTTCAACTTATACTTACAAAAGAAAAACTAGAGAAAAAATGGTTTCAAGAAATAACAAAAACAACATTGAGCGAAAGGAAAGGAGGATTCCAACATCATCCAAGGACCGTAGCAATCGTATCCGGCTTCCAGTGAGCTGTGCCTCCCAAATTTTCCAGTTGACACAAGAACTAGGGTTCAAAACTGACGGTGAAACCGTCGGTTGGCTCCTTCGTAATGCTGAGCCAGCCATCTTCGCTGCCACGGGCCACAGTGTGAACACCACCTCGAATGAAACCTCCAATGAATTCATCCACTCATATATGAATATGGGTAATCATAACAATTACCATTTTACAGACACAAGTGGTGTTGTTTATCATAACAATTACAACGTTACTATTGATAACTCTATCCATTATGCGGACACAAGTGGTGTTGTCAGCCATCAGCGAGAGAATATTACTGGTCATCATGGACTGGTATTCCCGACGGCTGCAATGACCGAGTATGGTCCTTCAACTAGTTTTCCGGCGAAGGATATGAGGGAAAATGGGCACTTGATGGTTAATCATAACAGCCGCCCTGTTATGCTACGACCATCAATGCCTCAACAGCAACCCCAGCCGCAACCACTGTTTGATGAGTTTAATAAGGTGGAGATGGGGAATTCTAAGCAAGCCATGTCTCCTCACAAGACTAATGATAGGCGTTAGAGATGTCTCTATATTCAACTATATTTGGTTTGATTTTGGTTGTTATTTGCGTTTTTGTTTCTTAATGTTTTTGGGATGAATAATAGTAACTAAATTTATTTATTTTTGGATTAAGTTATCTTTTAGTTTTTTTTTTCCAATCTTTAGTCTATTAATTTGGAAAAAGTAATGGATGAGAGTTCAAAGTAATTAAATTAATATGATTGGAGTCTAATTGTAGAGACTTTGATTCAAAGATGAGAGTGTATTTTAATTAAAAAGGAAAAAATCCAAACCGATGGAACAAATCTACAAAGATGATGGCAAACAGTCTAGCAATATATGCTAAATAATATTTCTTAGATTTATCAGAGGTCGATAGTTCAACTGGAAAAGTACTCTGGAAAATTCCAAAAGGTCCCAGGATCGAGTTGCAGCTTGGACGGATTAATCTATTATAGGTTGACATGGATCTAGGGAGATATATGGGCTTCGGCCTGAAACTTCTTAGTTTAAAAAATATATATCTCTCTTAGAATTCAAAGTGTGTGAAATTTAAAAATAGAAAACAAAGAAAGATGTAGTGTCTAGTATATTTTCGAGAATAGCATACTAAAGCAAATAGCTACGATTTAGGATGTCAATATGGGCTGACCCAACCCAAAACAATCCACTAGGATATGATTGATGGGTTAAATGAGCTTTGACTATAATGGATTTATAAGTCAATTCATCGGGTATGAGTAATATTATAATGGTTTTGGCAAAATAACCGAACCGAAAGAACCGAACTAAAACCAAAGCAAAAAGAACCAAACCGGAATCAGACCAACATTTTAAAATATTCAAATGGATCATAAACTCTAGAACCAACCGAATCGAAATATTTCGGGTACCCAAAAATATCCAAATATAATTTTATATCTAAAAATATCAAAAATACCAAAAATATCCGAAAATACTCAAAAATATCCGAAAATATCCAAAAATATCCGAAATACCTAATTGCTGAATGAATCCTAAACTTCAGAACCGAAAGAACTGAAACCAAATTGGAACCGAACCAAAATTGTTACGGTTCCTCTATGGATCTTAAACTCTAGAACGAAAGAATCGAAACCGAACTAAAACTGAACCGGAACTGAACAGATACCCGAACTCCCAGGCCTTTATCCTATTGAACGTAACAATTATGGAACAAATTGTACTTTTAATGTATCTACTAGGTCCGGACCCGCACGTACGTGCGGAATTTTATATTATAAGATATGTGTTGTATAACATATAATCAATATATTTGTGTTAATGTAGTATGTAGTAAATGTTTTTTTTTGTTGTTTCTTGTGTTAATTAGTTAATAGAATAGATACAATAATATTAGAAACTTAAATTGAAAATGTTTTTCTGTGTTTAAAATAAAATTTGGTACATAACTTTTTTATTTGTTTGATTGGTTTTAAAGTGTGAACAGAAAGATTAGTAAGAATGTACTAATTTGTGTTTGGTGAATTATTTAGAAAGTTGTAAAATTGGTGTGTTTTATTTTGTAAGATTGAATTTTGTTTATGCTTTTTATTGAATATTTTTTTTTATAACATTATAAAATTATTTATTTAGTGAAACAAAATTATTGTTTGTAATTTTGATGCAATGGTAATTTATGTAAACGATTGACCCAAAAGCAAAACTTTTTCATGGGCCATGAATGAATCACGAATCTATTCTTTTTGGGCTGGAATTATTGTACGCCCAGTTAAAAATAGTCTTGAAATCGATCCACGGTTTCGTTTGTTTTTTTTTATATTTAATATATTGATTGTTGGACAGATAATTGTCGAATGAACAATATTTGTCTTATCGCTGAAAACATAACGAAACCCTACAAATCAGAAGATTATTCGATCTTTAAATCAACAACAAAAATTGCCGATAATTTCCCTATTATGTCTCCGTTTATCAAATTTCTATTTCAGATTTGGAATTCTACAAAGAGGTAAGGTTTTTAAAGATTCTTCTTCAATCAATCTATTTCTAAAAATTTTCGATTCGATTTACAATCTTTGAAATTCTGTGTTTGAACAGATATCTTGGACAATGACTGTGAATAACCCAAACTTGCATGAGTAAGTATTGTCAATTATATTTTTTGTTTAGATCCGAATTTGATTTTCTAAATTTTTTGTGTTCAACCGGGTAACTCAATCTATCTACATTAATCTTCAAAGCGTTGGAGTTAATAGAGTTTAAAATTTGATTGTTTATAGATTTTGACAATATATGTTGTTTCCTGAATAGTGTTAACATTTAATTTGTTCCTAAATTGATTTCAGATAATTAGAAAGATGATGATTTTTCCCAAAGAAGACGATGTACAAAGATAAGTTTTATGTTACGGCTCTACTCTAACAAAAGATGTTTTTAATATATATGGTGCTGATGATACAAAGTTCAATGTTTCAGAGAAGTAAAAATTTTCGAGTTTTAGTCTTTTAGAGAAGGCAAATTTGATGACGTTTAGAAGCCATAACAGAATCTGAAAACAATGTTAAAAGTTAGTGAGTTGTTAAGGATTCAAATTTGGTTTAATTCATAATAGTATTTAGTTATTGCACTATTTCTGAATTAGTAGAACTGTTAAATATATCATTTCTTTTGTCATTGTATGTTTTAAAACTTGACAAAACATTCCTTTTTGTTTGTTCAATGTATACAGTCCAAGCATCAGTTCGCAGTTTAATTATTATGGATGAGGGAGAAATAAAGAAGCTTCGGTCAAGGTTAGTGATTTGATAAGTTTAATATTTCTATTTAGTGAATTGAAATTTTAGAGTTTGTTATTTCTTTTTGAAATTGTAGACTTGTTATAAAACATGTAGTTGTCAATTGTTTTCTAAAATGATTTTACTATATTAGAGTTTGACATATATGTTAATTTATGCTATTGATTGATAATATCTAAACGTAAATATTGCTTCTGTATTTATATTTAATTCAAAAAAAATTCGTGACCTATTGAGATTGCATGAATCATCATATCCTTAACAACCTCATGAATTCGTAAACGTAAATATTGCTTCTGTATATGAATTAACATTATATTTAATTCAAAACCTATATAAGTTTTACAGATGTATCAGCAAGAATCATTTCCACGGTTTCTCCTGTGTATTGAGTCCACGAATGGACAATTTTAACTTGAATTCTCCATTCTGTTTTGAAAGGCTTGACGTCAGCAAGGTCGGTGAATGCTAGCTCAGCTGCCATTTTCTTAGTGGGATTGTGAAGAGAAAAGGTGAAAGCTTGAAAAGGTGAGTTTAACATAAGCTTGGATCCTATATTTATAGTAATCGAAAGTCGGCTATAATTTTTCTAGGTTTTAGAGAATTATCGAGGAAGAGTATAAAGTCTATTAGAATATTTAAGGTATATGCTTGATTTTATGCTATTTTTGTATTATGGGGTGAGTTTTTTGGGTATAATGTAGAACTGAATATGGATTTGAAGAGATTTTATAGTTTTAAATATAAAATAAAATAGGAAATATATTCTCGAAAATTTAGTTATCATTCGATATAGGGAATATTGGGATTGAGATTGCATTGATTTATTCGTGACCTGTTTTTTTAAAATTCGCATTTATAATTTTAGTTGTTATGGAAAGATTTTTAAAGTAATTGAATCTAAGAAGGATATTTCAATCACGAATTTTGTTATTTGTGGTAAATACAGATGAATGAAATCGAATATAAATCAAAAAGTTTCCTGTTTATTCGTGATTGCATTGATTTATTCAGGATATTTCTTTAAATACTGCAGATCTGATCGGGCCTATTGATCGTAAGCCCAATAGAATCATTCATCAAAACACACTAAAGTTTTGATAAAGACCCGAGATCCGACAAAAGAATCCAAGATCCGCGTCCCTGTTAGATAACGTTTGTCCATTTTACCCCTCGTCGTAGATATTTTTTTTTAGTCGTGGAATCAAAAAATTGTAATGGCAATCCTTTGTAATTCTTTACTCTTTATAAAGTTATTTTTTAGCCAATGCTTCCCAATTAATAGAATAGATTTAGTGCATATATCCTACACACAAAAAAAGTAAATGAAATATTTCTCCCACTTTCATTTCTAAAAGCAAGAATAGATTTGAGAAATGAGAAAATAACCATCAGAGTTTTATTATGCATAAATCATAATACTTTATGTTTATACTATGTATATAATACGTATCTACCACATTTCCACAAGTGGCATTCAAAATCTACCACAATCTCAAAAAGCTTTCAAAATCTACCATATTCCAATAGCACATGTGGAATGCTGGACCAAAATACCCTTGATTGGGACAAAGTCTGTGTCAGAGACAGACTTGGGACACAATCTGTGTCAGAGACAAGACAGTTTCGTTTGGTGCTTCCAAAGAAGGAGCAGGTCTGCAATAAATGCTGCATGGTTATCTTATATCAGGGACAAATTCAGATTGAATGGGTGATATAATTAGATCATGGACAAATTCAGATTGAATGGGTGATATAATTAGTTCGAGGACAAGTTCAGATCGAATGGGTAATAGTATTAGATCGGGGACAAGTTCATATCGAATGAATAATAGAATTAGATCGGGGACAAGTTCATTTCGAATGAGTACAAGTTCAGATCGAATGGGTAATATAATTAGATCGGGGACAAGTTCATATCGAATGAGTAATAGAATTAGATCGGGGACAAGTTCATATCGAATGAGTAATATAATTAGATCGGAGATAAGTTCAGATAGAATGGGTAATAGAATTAGATCGGGGACAAGTCAAAACGAATGAGTAATATAATTAGATCAAAAATTGAGCGTGATGATGTTTATCATCCAATTCTCTTGACTGTCCATCGTCAGATGGTGTAGTTTTGTCCGCCAGAGATCTGGATTTACTCGGAGACAACTGGATTTTTTTTGTTATTTTGCAATAGAAGAAAAAAAAATTCAATAATCTGGGTAGGTGAAGACAATAATGCTCAACTAATGAGAACAAATCTAAATAAAATTCGAAACCTTTAAATGATAACAATTGGTGGACAAGATGTGGGATTCATGATAATAGAACAAGATGATAAAATCGGGGACAAGATCTAGACGCAACAGAGAATTTCCAATCGGGGACAAGATCTGGAGACAAAAACGAAAGCGTTTATTATGAGACAAGATCTGAAGAAGAAAGAGAAAGGGAAAGTGAGAGAGAAACGAAAGTGTCCGCCAGAGATCTGGATTTACTCGGGGACAACTGGATTTTTTTGTTATTCTGCAAATAGAAGGAAAAAATAATTCAATAATCCGGGTAGGTGAAGACAATAATGCTCAACTAATCTGTGGACCAAAATAGATGGTGAAAAATCTAAATAAAATTCGAAATCCTTAAATGAGAACAATTGGTGGACAAGATGTGGGATTCATGATAATAGAGCAAGATGATGAAATCAGGGACAAGATCTAGACGCAACAGAGAATTTCCAGTTGGGGACAAGATCTGGAGACAAAAATGAAAGCGTTTATTATGAGACAAGATCTGAAGAAGAAAGAGAATAATAATGTGGGGTTAAAGCGCACAGATTTCAAGAGAGGAGAGATTAATAGGGAAGGAAAAAAGTGCAGGTTGTCAAGTCGTGAAAACTACCATCAACTGTGAGGGCAAAATTGTCAATCTACAGCAAAATGTGGTATGAGTTGAAAGATGAAGAAGAATATGGTAGATTTTGAAAGAAATTGGGAAAATGTGGTAGATTTTGTAGTTTTTCTTTGTTGCGCAGCTTGCGCTCTTTGTTTATTATTGTTTAAATATTTTTATTTATTCAAGAAAAGCTTTATAATACCCAATATGTTAGGACTCTCTCTTTCTTCTCTCTCTAATATTTTTCAGAGAGAGAGAGTTCATGTAAGAGGTCCAGTATCGCCGTAAGTTTAGCTGCCAACACGGCTTTTCTGTTGCCGTGTTCTTGCCGTCGACATGGCTTTTCCGTTGCCATGTTCTTGCCGTCAACATGGCTTTTCCGTTGCCATGTTCTTGCTGTCAACATGGATTTTCCGTTGCCATGTTCTTGCCGTCGACATGGCTTTTCGTTTGCCATGTCTTTTTGTTATCTCAAAAGCTTGATGGAGAAGATTTCTGGTTTGTGTGATTGTTAGATCGAGAGAGTTTTCACTTCGTCAGATCTATTTTCCTCTGCCTTGATATGCTTTGCCGTTAAGTTTTTGCTTTTGGATCTAGTGGTTTTCCGGCGATGTGTGGTGTTTTTTTTTCCAATTAAAAGACAGTTTCGGTTTAGTGGAGTCTTAAGATTTGGTTAAAAGCTCGTTTCCTTTGCGAATTTCGATTGCCTTTTGCTGCTTTTAGAAAATTTCAGAGATTCACGTAGATCATCAAGGGTGGATTAATTCGATCTATTTCTTTTCCTATCTTTTGGATGAGATGAGTAGATTGGTTTGTCTTGTAACCCGTTATTGTCATCATCGGTGAGGAAAAAAGAAGATTCATTGCTGGTTTTTGCTCCGGCGACGTTTCTGATTCACCGGATTTGGAATCTCTTGCATGCGGTGAAGGTTGTGGAAGCAACACGTGTCCTCAGCTTATCCCAGTCGGTCTGACACGTTCTTGAGCTTATTCTCTTCTTGGGCCTGGGCTTTTTTGAAAGTCATCTGGACTGTCGTTTATGTTTATGTTTATGTTTATGTAAAAGTTAAATGCTGTTAATGACTATCCAAAATGGTTCATCCATTATTGGAAGCTGCTGTACGATGTCTTTGTCAATATAAATAAATACCATCTTTGAGAAAAAAAAAAAATACCCAATATGTTATTTTGATTATTTTATTTTTCTTATAAACGTCTAGTAACTATAAATGGTGATAAACTAGTATATAAAAATAAATTTGCAGTTATCTCATCCATTTCTATAAAAAGTCATAAACTAATTATGATATAATATAGAAAATAAAAATAAGATAAGATGCATGAATATTGTGTGATACAATGTATTAATTAATTGTATTAGCTGTATTTGGTATGTAAAGTTTTTAAATAATATTTTCCAAATTACCATTAGTAAGTGGACCTATCATTTAAATATTCCTATATAACTTGTAAACTTTGACCATTTGTTTTTTCCTTTTTTGCATTTAAAATTTAATATACTTATTATTTATATTTATGAGTCAGTTACACCATTTTTATTTCCATATATAACGTAATAGAAATGAAGTAAATTGAATCTTTCTTATCCAAATATCTTATTATATAAAGTATGGTTTTCAAAGTTAGTAACTCACAAGATCGTGACACGTGTCAATTTTTCAATCTGAGATTTTGACATGTGTCAAATAAAATTTTTTTTTTAAATAAAGAGATAATTATAAAAAAATTATATATTTAAACAGTTTTAAAATGTAAAAAGCTAATTATAAGAAAATTGTACATATATTTCCATAAGAGTTTTTGCCATCTAACAAACAAAAATTTTGTTTTTAAAAGATAATTATAACAAAGTTATAAATTTAAACAGTTTTAAAATATAAAAAGATTATAATAAGAAAACTATACATATATATATATATATATAAGGAATTTATATGTATATTTCCATAAAAATCAAAATTATAAAATTATGCTAAACTTGTTATTTATAAGTTACTAACTGTACAAGAAAAAGATTAAAAATTAGAAAAAAATTAAGAAAATTATACAATTAGTTATTAATCCTATAAGAAAAAAGATAGTAAATAGTTACTTTTATATAAATAAATAGATTATCTCATATTTTCTCATCAATCAAACTAATTTCTTAACGATGTTATATCATATCAATTATAAAAAAATACTTTGAATAACGATGTTTTTCTAAAAATAGCATATGATATTCAGATTTAATGAATATATGGCAATTGAGGCAAATTAATAATTATGAACGGCGATAGACATAGACTAGAGTTATTGTCTGAGAGGCTTGGTCTAATGTCGGAGAAGAGTGGAGTAATAAGAGAAGTTGGGGAAAGAGGATAAGAGGCGGTAACAGTGGTGTTGGTGTTGATGATGGTGGTTCAAGCTTGGTGGTGGTGGCGTCGGTAAATATTGATAAAGATGGTGAGTCGGAATTAGCGAGATTCGGAATTGATGATGGTGGTGATTGTGATAGTAGTGAAATTCAGTTGTGGTGGTGGGTCAGAGTAGTGAGACTCAGTAGTGATCCCGACGAATGCGAGAAATGGAGATAGGGAAAAAAAATAAATAAAGATATGGTGGTGAAGAAATCCGACGAGAGGGAGAGAAGGAGAAAGAAAGAGGAGTTCGAACAAAAATAAGAGAAATCTAATGAGAGATACATAAAGATTTGAAAATTAGAAAGAAGAAAAAACGAAGAAATTGGTAATATGAGCCTAAAATGACAAAAGCCATGTAGCAAATAGATAATGTTTAGTATGATATTTTTTTTTTGATTTTTTTTAGTCTTAAATTTTTTAGTGTATATTTTCTAATTTCTTATTAAATTGTTTATTTCTGTTGAGAGTATTTCATATTATCAAGTAAAGTTACATGACATGAATATAGACGGTCTCATATTTTCTCTTCTTTGATTATCACTATTTTATTAGGACGTCAAACTTTTCTAAAAAAAATATCTATATTTAGGTAACTCAGACTATATATTTACATATTATGAATATATCGTTCATATGTTTACGTAACTATATAATTTTATATTTTCTTATTGTCATAGTTTTGTTTCCATCTTGCCCACATTAAAATTATAAGATGTAACACACTCTTAGCAAATAACTTATTAAAATTCAATAATACAACATTTGAACATTTATGACTTCATAACTTATAATAAGCAAAAAATTATGTAATTTTATAAATAGGCCAACATTTATATTAGATAATTTAATAATTAGTATAACATAACTATAAATAATGTTTTATATTGCGTATTATGCTAATAAATCTATATTTAGAAATAATTATGCTGTATGTTCTAAAATATATATGTTTATATAATTTTAGTTAAGCTTACAAAAATAAAATAAAAATATTAAAAATGATATTCTCCACGGCCAACCCGTGCAACGCACGGGTCCATATCTGGTTCTATATAAACTATGCACAAGAAATTTAGTTTTCAACTTACACTTTCAAAAGAAAAACTAGCTAGGGAAAAATGGATTCGAGAAATAACAAAATCAACACTAAGCGAAAGACAAGGAGGACTTCAAAATCGTGCAAGGACGGTAACCATCGCATCCAGCTTCCGGTGAGCTGTGCTTCCCAAATATTTCAGCTTCAAGGCTGAAGGCGAAACCGTCGGTTGGCTCCTTCGAAATGCCGAGCCAGCCATCTTCGCTGCCACGGGCCACGGTGTCGACACCACCTCGAATGACTCCTCGAATGATTTCTTTCACCCATATATGAGTATTCATAATTCAAGCAATATGAATCATCCTAATATTGTTTATCATAACATTCACAATTTTACTAGTGAGAACTCTGTTCATTATGCAGACACAAGTGGTGTTTTTAGCAATAATATTACTCGTCATCATGGATTGGTACTTCCGGCTGCTACAATCATCGAGTTTATTCTTTTAGCTAGTTTCCAGGCAAAAGATATGACGGAAAATAGACACTTGATGGTGAATCAAAATAGATCTATTATAGTACGACCACCAATGCCTCAGCAACAACCGCATCCTTAACCACTGTTTGATGAGTTTGATAAGTTGGGGATGGGGACGGATGAGCAACCCTATGTCCACCCTCGAGAATAATTGTAACACCCGTCTCCCTCAACATTGAGACGGCGTGCGTTCACCTTACTTATCTTTTCCTCTATTCCACTTTCTTAATTCATCATGTCGTATTTTCCCGGAAATCATTTCTTTTACTACAAACTCAATATAAACTTGTCTTAAAATTAAACTTAAATCGTTTAAAACTGTTGAATGAGACGTATAAAAAAGTAACAATAAAAGCCAATAACCCGAGGTTCCCGAAATACATCACAAGTGAGACGGACTTGCGCAACTACTTACGATTCTCACCTTAACCTGGAGAAAAAGGGTAAAAAGGGGTGAGTAAAGAATTACTTAGTGAGAGGATCTTTTCCGCCCACTAGAAATACGATACATGAAACTATCTTTAAACAACAATCAACAACCACATAGAAAAAGACACAACACTCATATAGTCTGCACTACTATGCAAACTATAACACAAAATTCATTCTCGCCCTTAGCGAGATCTCCACATCAATACCAGGTTCGATCATCTCTCCTAACCTTTGAATCTATCTAGTTCCACTGGACTCGTCAGTCTATTATTGAGCTACAAAGAACCTGTCAATTCAATGTAGACTATTTTCTACTTTTCCAGTGTTCCACTTTTCATCATCTCAAAAGATGGTAATTCCACTTTCTCATATAACACATATAATAACTTGTCATCTCAATGACATTAACTCAATAATCCTATATAACTAAAACAATCATCATATCATCAATCCTAATTAACAAGTCATTACTACTAAGCAAACGGATCTAATCCTATGCAAGTGAATCATGAAGCATAAAAATAGAAACTTGTAATCGCATCTCCGCAGATCACACTCACCTTAGCAATTCGGTTGGATATCACGATTTAAGACTAGCAACAACGGATAACCGGTTCAACAATGATCTCAATCTGCAGAGATTTAGAATACCGATAAGAGATTATTTTCCATTAATAATCTAAAATTAATTTAATAATTAAACCAAATTCTAAATCTAGATTAATTGATTTGGTATGATTAAGAAAGTGGAATAGAGGAAAAGATAAGTAAGGTGAACGCACGCCGTCTCAATTTTGAGGGAGACGGGTGTTACAAATGGTATAAGAGCCGAACCCAGGCGAGTGTGGAGTCAAGAGGGCTTACACCGTCGGGGGTGACGGTCTTGGTGAGCAACGAGGACGTTGCGATCTGTTAATGGGGGTGAATTGTAACACTTCGATTTCAGGAATATGGTGGTGCATGCGGAGGGGTTTAAAAGAATTGATTTGACCATCTATGTCACCAAAATGCACTTATCTTTTCGGTCAACTTTCCTGAGAGAACTCCACAGTTAAGGGTGCTTGAGCTGGAGCAATTTCAGGATGGATGACTTTCCGGAAAGTGATTGTCGGAATTGTGTGAGTCAGGATAAAACACAGAGAAAAATCATGTGGTGATTTGTAGGGTCGGTAAACAAGTCTTTAAAGCCTCCCGGACGTAGCGGACTGACTGCCGAACAAGGGTGGGGCCTACTGAACCGAGAGAGGACGTGGATGTTCACTGGTAAGGGCGGTCGGGTCGTTACAATAATGATATGTGTTATAGATTTTTTTTGTTCAACTAGGGCTTGAATTTGCTTCAGAAAAAAAAAACTTAATTTGCTTTTATTTTGGCTGCTATTATTTTTGTTTCTTCATGTTTCTCAAATCTCTATACTATTAAAAGAGAAGTACAAATGAAAATGGCTCGGGTTAAAATCAGAAAATTGACCCGAAATTCTGAAATCGGATCTTTGAAATTTTTTTGGAATATAAATTCGAATTAATAATGAAAAATCGAAATAAAATCAAATATTTATGGAAATCAAATAAAATCTGATTGTACTTATGGTAACTAATAATAAAAGCATATTCCAAACAATATTATACATTAATTACGTATAATAAATTTGTTCATATATTTTTGAGAATAATTCCATAACAATCAACGTTTTTGTCATTAATTTCGCTCATTTTAGCCAATTATCATTAATTGAAAGATATT